GCAAAAAAAAAAAAAAAAAAAAAAAAAGAAAAGAAAAGAAAACCCTACAGTACACATCTTATCTATCCTAATTATTAGTAGATAAGCCAGTATTAGGGAGCTGTCTGATACTGGCAACCAATACTTATCAAGGCCATGATGGGTAGGTGGCAGACCCTAAACACTTGTGTTCTAATTTAAGCTTCCCAACAGTCCTCGCAGTGACTGCACTGTAAAGACAGTAGCTGTTGGCTCCAGTTAAGGAGCACAGTGGTGTGGGATCTGACTTCCCACTCCTCACCACTACATCAGTCTGCAAAGGCAGAGCTGAGCACAACCCAGGGGGAGCAGACAGCCATGCTTCCATCACAGACCCACCTCCCCGGAAGATTTCGGGAGCCCTGCTCCAGTCCTGCTGCCAGGGCCTGACAGAGGCCGAGGAGCCAGTGGCCTTTTCCCTGATTCCCAGACGGCCCACCCTACCCCTCCTCTCCTCGTCCCTGCCAGCACCAAGCCCAAGTCCCCACAAAGGAAGCTCACATCCCACAACTGTTTAGTGGGCTGTAATCCTGACTCAAGTTCACTACTTGGGAAATCTAAGGTCGGGGGCAGATGCTGCTGGAATGTGTGTGGCTAGGACCCAGTGTCCCAGCCCAGACAGTAGGCCCTGCTGGGGCCAGGGAGAAAGCTGGCAGCCAGGGGAACCCAGAACCTCTAGCCCCCAGCTGTGCAGAGAATGGAATGTGCTGCACTCTGGGTGTCAAGGCAGAAGGGGGGTGGTGCGGGGAGCCGGGAGAGGCAGGGGGCTCCTATCACAAGGCTGCCTCTGTTCTGCTGAAGGCTGGGCCCTCTTGGCTGGGGCTGGGCTGGAGAAAGAGGAGAGGGGGAAAGCTGGGCTTAGGGGACTGGCCCTCCTACGAGCCCAGTGGGTAGCTCCTGGTTTGATTGGGAGCAGGTAGAACAGAGAGAGGTAACTGCCCAGAATGCTATGTTTCTCCAATTTCTCTTATGGGGCCTCGACCAGGACCTGAGATACAGTTCACATCCTCGTAGTGGCTTTCGAGCTGTCATCTTGGGCAGGGGTACTCAGCGTCCTTCTCTGAGGTTGCTGACCACCCATGTTTCTCTCATCTCTGAAACCCACTGGCTGCAAGCACAGCCTTCCCCAAATTCCTCCTGTTACTGGCACTTCATCAACATTAGGCACTGTTTCCATTCTCCAAAATAAAATAATATTGACACTGCTTTTCCAAACTCATAGCCCTCCCGAACTTTCTTCTCTGAAAAATATCTAAAGTTATTCTCTGACTTAAAAGGAAAACAAATTACTGTTCTAAGCTAGGCAGGCAGAGGTGTCTGTTCTCCACTCAAAGGTTATTGGGATAGCAGCACTGAGTTACTGTTTACTGAGTATCTACTATACGTCAGGGCTGTGCATTATGCCTCAAGCAGACTGAATTTAAACAGCAGCCCAACAAAGCCAGCATCGTGGTCATGCCCACTCTACAGATGAGAGAAGCAGAACAGGAAGACTGGAGGCACTGCTCCAGGCCAAGGCACAACGGAGCTGAGTGTGGAGCTGGACCACAGCAGGCATCTACTTCTGCTGTAGCTGCTGGGTGCTGGGTGCTCTCAGTTTCTACTCTGCGGAGACCAGTGCCAACCTTACTGGCTTGTTGTGGTCATTAAGAAAATATAAGGTGCTCACCACAGCACCTGATACCCAGAGAACACCCAACCAACCCAGCTCTCAAAGCCTGCTCATATCTCCCACCACACAGCCAATCCTACCTCCTGGCTCTCAGCCTGAAAGAGCACTAACCCTTTTTGGCTTTATCAGGGTTTACTACGGTCATTTCATTCTAAAGCCCACGTTGTTTAGCATTTACCAACTTCTGGTCCCAACTCTAATCCCAGGCCTTCAGAGTTAGGTCACAAGACAGAGCCTCCAGTCAATCTGACCAGCATGTGCTGAACCCTGTGTGCAAGGTACAGCTTTCCTTCTCTCAACCCAAGGTCACACCCAGACCAGGCTGCTCCCACATCCCCACCACCAACGGTGCTCAAAGCCCACACCCCACCCCCAGCCAGTCTGCAGGTGAGGGCGGTGCTAGGGAGATCAGGTCCTCCAGCCCTAAGGAGTTCGGTGCAACAAGAGGCAATATAAGAAGCTTGAAGCCTTTTATTGATAATTTTCCATACACAGAGATCCTTTCACTCCTCTCCAGTGTAAATAAACATAGAAAACTTAACCCTCATCTCCTAACAGAGCAAACTGGCGACACCGAGGCCTGCCCTTTCTCCCAAGCCTGATTCTTTGCCTGACTTGGACCAGGCCCAGCGGCCAAACCCTCACGAAACAGCTTAGCATGGCAAGAAAGCAGGCCTAGGGTGGGCTGCTTGTCCTCCCACCTGCCTCAAGTCCATGCTCAGGGAGTAGAAACACCTCAGCCACTTATGACTTGAGGTCCCAGGCAGCCTATGACTCCAGGGCAGAAGACCCTGATCCTCTTCATCCCATCCCCGTGCTGTATGTTCCCAGGAACCATTAAATAAATAAATAAATACTCTGAGAAGGCAGGGCAGCTGGGAGTGGGGGTGCGTGCTGAGCCAGTTCATGGCTTTGGGAGAGATGCTAGGCCCCTCAACATCCAGAAGGAAATATAAAATTGCCAGAAAGATCGAGACCCCAAGTGGACTTATCTTGTAACTGAGACTGTCCTCCAGGGAACAGACATGAAATCTAGGATCCAACCCAACAACACCCTCTAGGTCAAGGGCTTCTGGACCTCTGCTCTGCTCACCTGACTTCACACTCCAAGGGACAAAGGATAGGGAAGGGAGAGGTGGCACTAGACCAGAGGAAGTTTTCCCTGTGCTTGGGTAGGGGAGCAAGAGTGATCTGAGTACCCTTCAGCCACCCAGGTGAAGCTGAGGACTCCAGGGCATCACGCAAGTCCACTTGCAGGACAGCGTCCCCATGCTGTGACCCACACATACTAGAGGACTCCATGAGCTCTCTGTGCACTGCTCTCCTCTGAAGGAACCTGAGAACTCCAGACCTGCTTCCAGAACAATCTGGTAATCCCTGCACACACCCTCTGATAGGGAAGTGATCCAATCCCCTGGTACCTGGAGGAGGGACATTCAAACAGCACAGCTAGGTGTGGCATCCCCAAACTGTCTTCCAGGCTCTCAGGCTGAGGGACCCAGCCCCATGCTCAGCAGGGAAGAATTTTTCCCAAGCTCTGGTCTGCTGGATCTCCAGGCCTGGCCACATTGGTCCTAATCATCACAGCTCAGCTGAGCCAGGCCCACCTCCCTGACCAGCCCTGAGTCCACTTAACTAACCTGGGGCAGAGCAAAGCAAACAAGACTGTCTAGGGGCACCACTCCCTTGAGCTCTGAACACAGCACTGCCAGCCTGGCTGAAAATACAGGAAGGAAGGGGAAGCCTACAAAGCATTCAGGCCACATTTGCCCAGTACAAGCCAGAGGGTCCACGGGTGGGTGGGAGAGGAGCTCTACTGTTGGCCCCAGGACTGATGCCGGTTGGAGCCTGGCCTCTTCTCACTTGCTCAAGGTCTGGTTACATGAGGCACACACAAACACAGTCTCTCTCTGGGCTTCAGGGGCTGAAAAGGAAGAACTTGGTAAGACACTTCTTTATGCCCTCGGCTCATAGCCACAAGTACTAGAACCACCCTCCCAAAAGACCCAAAGAGACCACCCACCACCTAGGCCATGCCCTCCCTGAGCCAGCTCGCTAGCTAGCTCTCAGACACACCTTCCAGGGGAACTGCAAGTGGTGCTAGGTGTTCCCAGGGGTTCCCAGGGTTAGAAATTCTCTCGGCACCATCAGAACATCTTTAAAGTGTTTTGTAAATAAAATACCAGAGGAAATTTTCTCCTAACACTTTAACAATGGTTATCTCTGGGTGGTAAGATTACAGGATTATTTTTGTCTTCCTTCTTCTGTATAGTAATTTCCAAATTTTCTAGTTAATAAGCATGTGTTACTTGCGAGATCAGAAAAGAAAAAAACTTGAATTTACTGCCATATCACAAAGTAGTAAGTGAACTGTGATCACATTTTTCAGGAACATGTGCATGCAATTCACCCTACGTGCATGCTGGAGGCAGGCAGGACCCACACCCAACTACTGACTCTGAAATACATGAAGAGTGTTTTCCTTCCTTTTGTTCACCTATATGTTTTACTAACAAAGAGTATACATACCCTTCATAAAGAAAAGTAATTATTTAAAATTCTTGTCTAAATGTCACCAAACTGAGGACTGTGGTGAGGTCTGGGAAAGGCAGAGGTGAGCCTCAGGGAATTGCTAATGCACTGTCTGTTAACTTTCGGAAGCTGTCACAGGTACTGATCTTGCTATCATGTTTCCTAATTCCTAGTGCAATTCTTTGCACTCATCAAATGCTTGTTTTTACTGTTAAACAGGATGGACCTGTTTACTGTAGCCCTTGGTCTAGGGCCCTCACTCCTTTCTACAATGTGGCCTCCCCTGAGGGACACAAAGCAGCCAAGCCTCGATGCACCGCCAGCACCACTCACCTGTGGCCCCCATGGAGGACTTGGGCACCTTGAAGGAGCAGCACCGAGAGCAGAAGCTGTTTCCACAGTTACTGCAGCTCCGCTGCAGACAAGAGCCAAAGTTAATGTCGGATGAAGCCCCTAACTCAGGTACCTGGAGCCCCAGCACCTCCCTCCTTTCCACTGGCCAATCCCACCCAGGGAAATTGGGCCTGGGAAGTGCCGAGGTGGAACAGAATAGATGAACACTACATGGAAGGCTGGTGGAGGCAGACACGTGGGTAAGACATATACTTGCTTGAGCAAACCACAGGTGCCAGGCCCCATGTTACCTGAGGAGTTAAACTTCATCAATGACGCCCTTCAACTCCCCAACACCCCAACTCACAAGCACACTGCTCCCAACAAATATAACTTCAAAGAGACTTACCCGCTTCTTCAGCACTGAGAAGGTAGCAGAACAGCCTGTACAGTTCCCTGAGAAATAGAGGCAGCAGCTCAGTCTTGACCCGCACCTGCTTCTGGCTTTTCTAAATGGGGCACTAGGGTTATCAGCCCAGCCCAGCTCCTCAGCTGGGTACAGTAAATAAGGAAGCAGAGACCAGATACAGAGCCAGAAGGGACAACAGATGGCTCCTGGGAACTGCAGTCCCCAGGCCATGCATGGCTCTAGTCCCTGCCTGCTCCCAGCGGCCCACTCACAGGTTCAGCAGAAATCAAAGAGCAGCCAGGGAATCTACTCCCTGGAACCCAGCTAGGCTGACAAGGACCAGACAACAGCATCCAGAAACGAAATCTGTCCGACTTGACTCCTTCTGAGCAACTCATAAATATTCTACCCATAAGGTACACATAAATGCCTCCTAGAAATGCAGGCTCCTACTTTCTGTCAAAGAATTCTAAGAGAAAAAGCCTGGAACCAGGCACTTTCCAAGAAGACACAAAGGTCAAATGCTCAAGCACTGTGAGCAGCAAGCAAGATGGGGGAAGACAGCCAGGAGAACGATCCTGCCTAAATAACCAGCAATGGCAAGAAGACAAAACTTCACACAATGGCAGCTTCGAAGATGGCTAGGAGAAGACAAGGCTAGTATGAGGAGGAATGGAGAATGGGGAAGGAGGTTCCCGGACCCGGGGTCCAAGGCCTGCTATGATCTGGCCAGAGAAACTATCAGCTTCAGGGAGCACTACTGTGCCCCCCAGGTTATACGTCTGGTCAAGTAAAAGGGCGGCCTCACCTTTGCACACATCCCCAAAGCTATACTGACAGCTCCAAGTGGTTCCTTCCCACCAGACTCACCTGTACTTCTTGCTAAAGAAGCTTCCTTGGATTGAGAAAAGAACAGCTAGAGCCAGAAGGACTGAGGCCAAGGTACTAGAGGTAAATGCTCATGACTGTTGCTCAGGTCAAGGCTCTTGGCAGAAGTCAAGAGAGAAAAGTACAGGATATGCCCAGTGGTAGAAACTGGCTGCTCCAAGACTCTGGCCCCTATACTAAGAACTGAGGGAAGATAGCCTGTCGCTGCCTCCTCTTAGCAAGGATGCAGAGCAATGGGACAGGGCAATGGAGCTACTATGTCCAGGAATTGCTCTGAACTACATGGAGAGCCAGAGCCAAGCGTCTAGCAGGCACAGGCCCACTAAAACAACCAGGTACTCACACAGAAGCCTGAACCCAGGGAGGGTTATGGGACAGATATCAGCTCAGACAGAAGACAGAGGAGGGGAGCAACCCTATCCCTCCAATGTGTGCTCACTCTTTCTGCCCTCATTCTCAGCAAAGGCCAAGCCCCACCCATCCTGATTTACCCTGTGATGAGGCCATGAGAACAATGAGTAGCAGGAGCCAAACACTGTACAGAGCCTACCAGGGGAATGGTCATGCAGCCTCCATGACAGAGGGGGCACTCATCACCAGGACTCACACACTTAGAGGCCACATAGAAGCTCCTGAGTAACTGGTCTTCATTCTTCCAATGGGCCCTTTCATCACCAACAACCAGAATGGAAGAGCCCCTGCTGGAGTTCCCCCAAAGGTTCACACATGGGCTCTTAATCCCCAAGCAATGGTATTACAAAGTGAGGCCTCTGGGAGGTGACTGGCCAGATCCTTATGGTGGGACTGGTCCCCTTAGAGATGCCAGGGACTGCCTTAACTACCCTACTATCTGATGAGGCAGCAAGAAGGAGGAAACATCTACCAACTAGGAAAAAGGACCTTACCAGACCCTCATTGTACTGGTGACTTGATCATGGACTTTCAGTCTCCAGAATGATAGGAAATAAATTTGTTTTTATGAGCCACCCAGTGTAGCAAATTTTCTTATAGCAACCCAAACAAAGGCAGCCCCCAAAGCCACCTACCTACCCTTCCCTTGAAACAAAGAGTGCAAGAACATCTCAAGGGATGAAAAGTTAAGAGCCTGAAGGATGAGGAGCAAAGAGCACCTTAGGGAAAGAAGCATGTTCTGCCCTTGCCATTCTTGAAGGAACCAGATAGGCTATTGTGCATCCTGGCAGGGAATTTCCAAACTAAAAGCCAAATTCAGAAATGGGACAGACATAAAACAGGGACACCTTCAGACACCAGGTGTTACAGTTTTCATCTAGATGTTACCCAAGAGCCTCAAGCACTCATAGGCAGGGCTTTTGGAAGTGACTCAGTTATGGAGCTTACGCTGACTTGTTTGGTCAGAAGAGGCAGATTACTCTGGGGTGGTCTAAAGGGTTTATCTCCCAGCTCAGCTCCTCCCTTAAATCTCTCTCTGCTTCCTGTCTTCCATGCCTTGAGCAGCTCTCCTTTTCCATGTCCCTGTGCCATTCCATCCTGCCTTGGAGCCAGACAACTATGGACTGAAATGTGAGCCAAAATAAACCTCTCCTCTTTTAAGCTGTGGGTGTTAGGTATTGTGTCTCAGCAACTAGAAAGTAACTAAGACATCAAAGCAAATGAAAATAGGAGAGTGAGGTACAAAGAACAGGAGCCAAATCAGATGTCCTGGACTTTAGGCCCAGCTCTACCATTTACTAGCAAAGTCTTTGGGCAAATCACTCTTTTTACCGCAGGTTACTTATCTGTAAAATGGGAATATCTAAGTGCCTTTACTTGAAATGCATAAATATAAACACATCATCATTCATTCTTTTGTAGTGTCCCTTAGGACTTCTGGAACCTGGCTGCTTCTGGACATAATAAAACTGCCTCCTGTCATATCTACGACAAGGTCCAAGCTCACATATGTACAAGTACGATGAGCTCACAGAGGCTCTACAGAAGTCACTGGCAACATAAATGAAAAAGGAACCAAAATGCTGAGGACATTCACACAGCAAGGAAATAGCAGGTCTAGGATCTCTAATCCTAAGAAAACAATTGGCCTGCTTATTATAGACACGAGGGGCTGACCCTAAGACCAGGATCAAATTCCTTACCATAAACCCCAGACACATACCTAGAACTTATCGCATGGCAGAACACACAGTACAAGGCAGCTTCCAGGTCACCAACTACTCTAGGCTTCCACCATGATTTTATCTGGCAATGCTCAAGCTTTTATCAAGCCCTGCTTGCCCTGACCACCAGCACGTTTAACACATCCATGACGGTAATAAGTAGCAACTCTTGCTCCGAGCCAGGTCTCCAAACTGTGCTCACAGGCGAGTCCACTCTCCTCCACGCTGCCCCAGTAACATTAACAATTGGCCAAGCTACAAATTCGGCTGAGAGAAGTAACAAGGCCTTATCATGTCCATAGAAGATACTATTTACTCCAATTTCTTTCTAGCTGGATCAGAAAAATCAAGACAGGCTCCCAGAAACTTACTGGATGGGCCAGAGCCTCCCATATTAATGATACCCACTTATTAAGCACTACTGACAAACCAGCTGGGCCCTGTGCTAGCCCTTCACAAGTACTGTGACACCTAGAACAATCCTACAAGAACTACTACCTCTTTTACGGAAGAGAAACTGAGACACAAGGACAGGAAATAATTTGCTCAAGGATACTCGACCCCAGGAGAATTTCTATCAAGCAGTCAGGCTCCACTGCTCTTAGCCAGTCTGCTGCACCACCTTGCTGTCAGTAGTCCTAGGATGGCAGTTCAAAAACAGTTCTTTGTCTTCCCAAGAGCTAATATTCAATAAGAAGACAGGGACAAGAAGCCCACATCATTCCTTCAACTCTCCCACTGGATATTTACTGGTTTCTCTTTCGTCCTTGATCGTATGACAAATCAGTACCCACAATTCCTAATCTCTACCCCTGTGGCCAATGTGCCCTCCACCCCAGCAATAGTCCCATCAAGTCCCTTCTGACCACCCCACCCCAACCCCACACTTCCACATCCATACCAAAGTTGTTGGTAGGATAACGCTTGCGGAGCCGCTCTGTGAGCCGGGACACCTTGATGCGCAACACCTCATTCTTGCTCAGGAACCCATTGTCCTGTAGGGCCAGCTCATCTTCTGCTGGGCATGGGGTGCCCTCATCATCCTCCTGTGGGAACAGCTCATTCCAGTCCTGCTTCCCTCTTGGAAGGCCTAGGACATGCATGCAGAAGCACCTGGCCAGAGCAGACCCCACGAGGTGCAGCACAGCTGGACCAGTCACTCTCCCCCTGCCAGTCCAGCCCCTGCCCGCCTCACCAGCACTCCAACTTACCAGCACCACCAAGTGGGTCTCCTGCCTCCCAAGGTGCAGAGTAGAAAGGGAAAAAACACAGAACAAGAGATAGCAGGAGAAAGAAGGTGCTTCAAGGTGGGGGGGACTCCAAGCAAAAGGAAACTCAGCACTCTGAGCACTTCCCAGAAGTGAGCTTAACAGACGCCCTCCCCCGTAGGAGCCCAGTGGTGAAGTCTGGAGAAACCTATATGCTACTTTTTTTTTTTCACATGGGGTCATTATTCAAATAGAACAAAACATAAGGAAGGAAAATATCCCTTACAATGTCTTTCAGGAAACTGTGTTCCACTGAAATTTTATGTATTTTACAGGGATACATAATTGTGAACTGCATCAAGATAAAAAATGTGTTCCTCACTTAAAAGTACCTATTAGACTTATCTCCACCACCTCCAGATTCACAGCCGAGAATGTTTCAGTCCTGGAGAAAGCTTGCAGCAGTCAAAAGTTAAACACTCACAAAATGGGGCTCACGAAAGAGTAGAGCGAGCCAAGTGTAAGCCATGGGCCTGGTAAAAATTCACAAGAGCCTCACGGCTTACACCTCAATTTCCCACTTTACAAAGACATGCGGAAAAAATTATTTCTACTCTAAGGAAAGCAACAGTGCAAACGTGGTAATAAGTAGCAACTGTCACTAGGCCTCAGAGATCACGGAAGACAGGGAGTGCTGGGGATATGTGTAACTGCAGAGTGTGACTGGTCTAAAGTAGCAGGTGGGGCCTTAGTTACACTCACTGCTGCAGACCTGCAGACAAGAGAACCCAAAAACATAGAATTCTCACTAAAATTTCCCCATTTCTGAGCACTGACTCAAAATAAATTTTTTAACTTTGCAAGCAAAATCAAACATTTCTGCAAACTATCAGAATCATATTAAATTGTGTTAAACTTTCCCTGACCTAGCACTTGGCCATAGAACCACTTTTTCCAGACTCCCAAAGGGACATCTTACAGAACTCTACTAAAAGAAACGCATAGTAGCAGCTTCCTCTAAATCTGCCTTCCTGTATCAAAGGCACTGAGCCCAGTGTTTGCAGCAAAGGTGAGAAGACACACAACTCCACAGAGCAGGCCATTTCTCAGGGGCTTTCAGAGCCCTGCTTGCCCTGACCACCCAGCACATTTAACACATCCATGACGAAGCCATATTCATATGGCCTACTGTATGGCAACTCGGATTTGAACATGTTACATTCCTGCCACTTAAATCATTGGTGGTTAAGTTGCCTGACAGTTCAAGCCGGTGGGAACGTGTTAATTAGATGGTCAATGGTACTCTTTCCACCAGTAAGTTCTATCCAGCATAGGTCAAGTTTTGGATTTCCATTTGGATGTAAGAGAATTAAGAAAAAACAACAATAACAAAACCACCCAACCTCTGCCCTGGCACCCAGTAGTGGGAAAGGGCCACCCACCTCAATGGCATCTTTGAATTCTTCATCTGGCTCAGCCTCCTCAGCCTCCTCCACACTGCCTGGCGTAAGGTCCTGGGAGGAAAGATTCTATGACAGAAGGAGAGGAATGGCAGCCCTGCTTCCCACAATACAGGGCCACCTCCCCTGAGCCAGCACCCAGGCTCCCAAAATACCTGTTCCTGCCCCAGAGGAAATGGCACAACTGCAAGAAAAAAGGAAGTCACAGGAAAGAGAGCAATCTCTAACCCTGCAGGGCCAGGGTGATGGGTATACCACTGGCCAAGAGCAGGGCTCTGGAACTGCAGGGCCTGGTCTGAGACCTAGTGCCTCCCTTACTAGCTTTGAGGCCTAAGAAGCCATTCTGTGCCTCACCCTCTGCCATTCAGAATAATCTCATTCTCATTCTCAATATAACCTCAGTAAAGTTATCTCTAAGGCACAACAGGCATCCAACACAGAATAAGCACTCAATAACACACAGGGCAGCTGTTTTTATTAAACTTACTATTACTGAGCACTTCACAAGAGATCAGGTTTGGGAAGAAGCAGGACAGAGACCAATCTGGGAGCTATGCAGTATGAACAAGCTGGTCAGAGGAAGACCCCCACCTGCCCACAGCCAGCTCTTGCTGATGGTTCAGGTACTCACCTCAGTGGGTGTGGGGGCCGGTGTACTGTCCAGCAGAGCACCCTTCCCCTCAGCATCCAGTAGTAGTGGGCTTTCAAAGGTACATTCTTCCTGCTTAGGGTTCATCCGCCGCTGCAGAGATGCCCTGTACTCAGATACCACTTCCCAGGGCAAGGAGAAAAGGGTGGGACAGACACAAAAGAGAATAAGTAGCACTCTGGGGATGTCCACTTCTAAAACTGACTGGCCGCTTCCTCCAGCAACACACCCTCTGCTACAGGGAAGAGCTGGCTTCCTAACTGAGCAAGTCACCTAATCTAAACCTCATAAACAAAACAGAGATACCACCTCCTACCCCAGATTGCTAGAGATTCCATTATGACTTCTATCTATTATTACCATTAAACAAATATAGCACCACCCAAGCACACGCACAGACCCAAGCCTCTACCATGTCAGTCAGGGCCACTCCAGACTGCCTCAGTGCTTCAGAAGCCAGATGGCAGGCGGGTACTGGGGAATCACAAAGAAATGAGATCAGGCAGGTGCCACGAGATCACAAAACTCTAGGTGACTGCAGCCTGGGGGACAGGTGACAGCTTTAAGAAAACACCTTTCCAGGCCGGGCGTGGTGGCGCACACCTGTAATCCCAGCACTTGGGAGACTGAGGCAGGAGGATCACGGTGATTTTGAGACCAGCCTGGGCTATATAGTGAGTTCCAGGTCAGTCTCAACTACGTAGTGAGAGCCCGTCCCAAAAAAAAAAAAAAAAGAAAAAGAAAACACCTTTCCCTCATCCCCACAAAACCAGCGTATCTGTAAGCAGTGATTTTCCCTGCCTTCAGAACAGAAGGGACCTCCCTGTGGGAGTCTCCCCTATGAGATGTAAGCCTCACCTAACATCTCAGAGACAAAAGACAGCCTTCCACAGAGAGCCCAGTGTAGTGCTGCCCTCTCATGGAAGGCACAGCAAAGAGAAGATTAGCTTGACAGAGAGAACGGGGAGCCTAAACTGGCCTTCAGAGCCAGCCTGGGCTTCAGCTGTCAGGCTCCTCAGGACTTACCTCTGAAAAACTCCACATTCCCCAGAAAGAGCGTGCTATTTAAAAGGGTGAGTACCCAACAGAGTGGCAGCAGATACAGCATACACACTGTGCCCAGAAGCACTCCATAGAACCTAAATGACAGAGGAAAACAAGATCAGAAATTCACAAGCTCATAAGGAAACCAGTTTGAGCCAACTTATACAGATGTCCAGGTAAAAACTAGCCCTGACCTCAGTTAATAAACCAGCAAAACCAGCTAATCAAACAAGTGGAAAACAGTGATGAGAGAAAAATCAGAGGTATCTACAAGTCATTATTTGCTAACAACTGATGCTGGTGAGGCTGTGGCAGCATCTGAGGCTACCACAAGAACACCTGAACTTGTTCAACTATCCTCACTCTCGGAGTCTAGATTCTGAAGTCTAGAGCCATACCGGATCTGATTTGATTTTGTGTGTGTGTGTGTGTGTGTGTGTGTGTGTGTGAGAGAGAGAGAGAGAGGGAGAGAGAGAGAGAGGGAGAGGGAGAGAGAGAGAGAGAGAGAGAGAGAGAGAGAGAGAGAGAGAGACAGGGTCTTGCTTTGTAGTTCAAGCTGGCCTTGAACTCACTATGTAGCCCAGGCTGGCCTCAAACTTGTGGCAATCCTTATGCCTCAGCCTCCTATGTGCTAAAATTATGCGTGTGTGTCACCACATCCAGCCAGATGGATCTGAATTTAGCTCTGCTACCTCTCTGTGGCAAGTTCCTTGGCTTCTTCATGTGTAAAATGGAAATTAAAATAGTGCCTACACCTCATTAGATTACTGTAGAGTAAGATAATAGTGCTGTCTGAGCACAGTGCCTGGCACTAAGACTAGTTAAATATTAGTCATACTTATGATTCCTATATAAATTGCTTCACAGCAAGGAATGGTGGCACATGCCTATAATCCCAGTACATTGGTAACAGAAGGATCAGAAGTTCAAGTCCAGACTGGTCAACTTAACAAGACCCTTTCTCAAAAACAGGAAAGGAGTGTCAATGTAGCTCAGTGCAAAGACCCTGGGTTCAATTCCCAGTACCACCGGAAGAAAAAAAAAAAAAGCCTCAAAATATCCATTCCATTTGATTTAGTAGTTTTATCCTCAAATTTATTCTAAGGAAAAAAACTTCAAAAGATTAAAGTTAAATATGCTCACTATACTTAGTAATGAAAAGTAGAAAATGACTAAACATCTAACACAATGGTCCATAAATCATAACAGTCTATATTAATTTTGTATTATAAATAATGTAAGGGCTTTGTAGAAACAAGGAAATCACTTAAGATACAATTAATAAAGAGAAGGAAACCTCATATACATTATGAAGCTGTATACCTACAGAGTATATGCATATGACCAACTCCACAAGGCAAGCTGAACATCAGCAGCTATTTCATGGTAGATTACATAGTTAGTTATTTGTCTATTGTTAAAGTGTTCCTTCTATCACACTTTTTTTTTGGTGATCCCAGGGATTGAACTCAGTACCTCGTCCTTGAAAGGTAGGCACAGCCCCACTGAGGTAAATCCCCAGCTCTATCACACATTTTTTTAAAAAGCATCCAAGGAAAAGCAATACATTGGTGCCAACAAGCACACACGCAGATTTACATGCTGGGGGGTGCCCTTCCTCTGAGGCAGGAGGGCCAGAAGCCCTCTGGAAGCAGCTGGCCACACTTGGGGTGCAAATTCCTACAGGGCTATGGAGGTGAGAGGAGGGCTACTCACTGTGAGGACACCACAGGGTTCTCCCAATGCAGCACACGGTAGGCAGCTTCACAGGTGCAGCACAGGCGAGTCAAAAAGGCCTCCAGCTGAATCAAGCTGCAAACACAGGGGTTTTGTGAGTTGGCAAGACAGAAGCTCTGGAGAGGCAGAGCCTGGGACCTGGAAGGCACAGCTGCCAAAGGGTAGCCAACCTCCTTAAACACAATGCATGGGTTACAAAAGCATGGGAGAAAAACACCTGGCCAAGTCACTCCAAATGTGTTTCAGTTCTCTCTTTGAGGCCCCCCATTGAGGTGGGAACAGTATCTGCTCTTGCTTGTTCAGGCAGGATACTAACTTTTCCAGGGCTGCAGTTTCTGCATCTACAAAATAAGAATCAGAAGACCCACACCACAGCAACTGGGAGGATCAACAGCAGAATGCAGATCAATGTTTCTCTACGTACAATGTAAGGCAGGCTCCCTTGGGGAATTTCATTTTGTTTTAAATGTGGATGTAACCAAGATGCCATGAGCACATCCCATACCCAGAGCCTTTCCTGAAGGATTCCTTTGCGATATGGCTGCTTCTAGACCTGAAGCAGGGAGCTATTAAATGAACTTAAATATCCTATTGCACTTTAAAATAACGAAGAAGCATTTAAAAATGATGGGGAAATACTGAAAGAACACAAAAATCAGCTCAAAAGCCATTCCACTTGCCAAATTTAGGACAACTTGGGATTAAAATAAATAATGAAAGCAATAGATTATATCCCACTGAATTAAAATAAATTACGTGAGTCCTTACTAACAATAAATAAAAAGAGTACTTTCTTATCATAGAATGCCAGTTAACAGTAAAGAGGGAGGGGGACGTAGCCCAGTAGTGCCATGCCTGCCTGGCAAGTGCAAGGTCTTGAGTTCAATCTCTGATAATGGAGGAAAAAAAAAACAAACAAACAGATAGAATGACAGTCAATCATCTATACAACCATCATAATTAATATTCCTAGTAACTTACACACAAATGGTTCAGGCATGACTGTCCCACTGGGTGGCTTTTTATTAATTTTATCAGTAAAAAGACCAATGTACATGATTAGATCTATTTGTACAAGCAACACAATGGGACAGGCACACCTATGGTGCCAGTGATTCAAGCTGCCCAACAGCAAGGACATATGCACTACAGCCCCATCATGAATGTGTTAAGGCAAGACCCACCAAAGGTTTTTAAAGCAGTGGGTGAATCAGGCAAGGGGCACACGCCTGCAATCCCTGCACTCTGGAAGGCTAAGGAAAGAAGATGGTGAGTTTGAGGCCAAATGGGCTACATAGTGAGTTCAAGGGCAGCCTGAAACACAATGAGCTCCTATTTTTAAAAAATAAATAAAAATAAAGCAGTTAGTGAAATGTCTGATAAGGAACAAAATATACATAGTCTTAAAGTATCTCCCCTCAGATTACTAACAATGAAAATTAAAATGATAATTTACAATGGAGAAACCTTAAGCAGGTGATCATTTTTTTTTTTTTTTGGTACCAGGGATCGAACTCAGGACCTTGTGCTTGACAGACAGGCAGCAGCACCGCTGAGCTAAATCCCCGACCCAAAGTTAGTATTTCTTGACATCATGTGCCCATGATATGGAAGCAGCGACAACACATCACTTGTCACAGTCCTGCCAAAAATGCATAATCCAAATCTAATCAGGAGGAACCACACAAACAAAATTGAGGGAGCTTCTACGAGATAAAAAACTGTATTAAATATGTCAAGGTCATAAGAAACACAGACTGAAGAGCTGCTCCAGATTAAAGGAGACTAAAGAGACATAAAAGCTAAATGTTAAGGGATAAGGATACACTCAGTAGAGCCAAGGCAAGGCCCCAGGTTCCATCCCCATCCTGCCAAACATAAAACAAAATACCCAACATAATGTGTGATCCCACACTAGATCCTGGTAGAGGGGAAACTGACATAAAGAACTTTATTAATAAAGGGCTGGGTATAGATCAGTGGTAGAGCACATGCATAGCATGTCTAAAGCTCTGGGTATGATTCTAGGACAAGGAGAGGGAAAAAAGAACTTTATTAATAGAATTGTTATAATGTGACTATGAAATATACATAAATATAATAGTACTAATGTTAATGTTATGTTAAATTTTCTAATTCTGATTGCAGGACAGTGAATGTACAAGAGAATAACTGTTCTAGCTGGGTAAAGGGAATATAGGAACTACATTCTTGCTCTTCTGTAAATTTAAAATTTCAAACTTTAAATTAAAAAAAAAAAAGATACTGAGTCTTCATTTCAACAGTGTATATACTAACATTGGAATTAGAAGGGAAGATTGGTGTGGCCCCTGCCCAAGGATGACATGCAAATTCATGAAATTTTTTAAGATTTTGAGGATAGTGAAAGTACTCTGTATGATACAATGGATATATGTCATTTTCCATTTGTCAAAACACACAGAATGCACAAGGCCAACAGGGAGCCCTCAGGTAGACGAAGGACACGGCATGAAGATCATGTCTTAATGTAGGTTCACTAACTGTAACAAATGAACCCTGTGGTGGAAGATGCTAAACTTCCGGTGACTGTGGTAGAAGGAAGAGGAGGATATGGGAATTCTCTGAGCTTCCTGCTCAATTTTTCTGTGTGCCCTAGAAATTAAAGCGTTTTAAAAAACAAAAACAAACAAAAAATAGATATTAAGGACCCACTCCTGATGACTCAGAATTTCTGGGCAGGACCCAAGCACTTGTTACTTTTACTCCCACCGTTACAGCAAAATCCTACACAGCGCCTCTCAAGTAGTCACAGTTATTATTATTCAACAGTAAGGCGGGGGATTTAGCTCAGTGGTTCTGCCACCCGCCTTGCAAGCCCAAGGACCCGAGTTCAATCCCCAGTTTTTTTTTTTTTGGTACCGGGGATTGAACTCGGGTCCTTGCGCTTGCAAGGCAGGCCACTGAACCACTGAGCTAAATCCCCGGCCCATATTATTATTATTCAACAGTCTTAGGACACTTCCTCAAAATACCAACTCTGTCAGGTTTTGGAAGTTTCTCCAAAAATTCAGCAATGATGACTAACATTTACTAAGCACTTCCTGAGTACCAAGCAAACAAGCAACCTTCCCAAGCACCCTGTGAGTGAGCCCTATCCTCGTCTCATTTAACAGATGATAAATCTCAGGTGTAGGGAAGCTAAGTGACTTGTCCGATGCTACATATGTGGAAGAGCTGGGATTTGAACCCAGACAGTGGCTCCTGCAGGTGCATGCTTAAAGACTCCAGACCATCTCTTTAGGAGAAAGAGCACAGCTATGAGGTCAGCTGGATATGGAGTCTCAACCCAGCTTGGTCACTTTCTAACTCTTTTTTTCACCCCTAAGTGGAGGATAATAATAGGAGCCACTGCCCAGAACTGTTAGAAAGATTAAATGAAGTAACATCTGTGGTTCACCCAATACAGTCCCTTGTGCACTCAGCAAGCACTTAGTGTGGTGGCTGCTGCTATTCTTGAATTCAGCTTGCTCCCATCCCCTTTCCTCTTGTCCATACTCACAAGCTCTTCACCTCAGCCATGGCTTCCGGGCGGGAAAGGCGAACTTTCTGCAGGTCTTCCTGCCTTATGCTGTGATATTTCTTCCGCATCAACTCAGACTCTGGAAGCCGTGCCCGGCAAACCTCCTGAAGGTAGCCCAGCAGGGCGGGCGCTGAAATCATCAAGGCACCCACTGAGTACCAAGCACCTATGGGATCAAGAACACTGTATGTAGAACAGGTAAGCAAGGCCTACAAGCCTACCCACCATGTCCACTCGCTTGCTCCCTTGCCTCCACCAGGACTCTGCTTAAGCAGCCTTTCCTGGTCACCCAGTAAGACCTGGTGTCTTAGCCCACCCATCAGCCCCCTTATCCAAGCTTTGACTTTCCTTATAAGCTAGTGTCTCTTCCACTAATATAAGCTCTTGAGAACTGCACTCTGTCCAGTCACTGATGTAGCTCTTGCTTATTTTGTTTTGGGGACTTTTGTTTTTGGTTGTTTTTTGTTTTGTTTTGAGATAGGGTTTTACTACGTTGTTTAGGCTGGCCTTGAACTCACTAGGTAGCCCACACTGTCCTCAAACTTATAGCAATCCTCCTCCCTCAGCCTCCCAAGAGCTGGGATTACAGGAATGTGTCACCATGCCTGCCTCTAGCTGGTTCTTGTTGTTACTGTTGAGTTGTTGGGTTTTTTTTGTTTGTTTGTTTGTTTGTTTGTTTTTTGGTACTGGGAATTGAACTCAGGACCTTGCACTTACCAGGCAGGTTTGGCACCACTGAGCTACATCTCTGGCCCTCTAATACATTAAAAAATGCTGCTAGCACACAGTAGGCAGCTCATGCCTGGAGTCTCACTGCTGCAAGTTCACAATAACTACCATTCAGATCTTTGAGCCATGAGGACAGACAGAGTCTTTCCTTTAGCTTTGAGGGTACCATAGGACACTGTGGATTGAGAAATACAGAGGCCAAAATTACTTGCTATCCCAACAGCAAGCTAAGGAGCACCAGGCCCACAGTAAATGCTTGTTCAATACCTACCATAGGAACTGATTTACTTTGGAAATATAACATCCTAGGAAGTTTTGATCAAAGATGAGTCTATCTAAGAAAAAGAATGAAATCTTGTAGGAACTGGGTTTATTTTTAACCCTGAGTCCATTATCTCCAGAGAGAAAAAAGGAGACTTTGGAAAATGTGTTCACTACAAGAAAGAATACATATACAAAGGATTAGCTCCTCAGAACATTCTGTCCCTGCCCCTTTACTCATTCCCCTAAAGGGGCTGGTTTTTTTCTGGCATCATCTGCCAGTTCTGACCAGGGAAAGGGTTCAGTCACAGCAAACACTGTGGCTGCTGGAGACATCACCACCTAGGACCTACATTCCTACATTCATATGTCTCTCTCAAAGGCTTCAGGCCTCTCCTCACTGCTGGGACTGCTGGGCAGAACCCAAGGCTCATTTGCTGGATAAGAAATAACAATGAAACCGGAAAAAAAAATGCCTTCTCAGCTCATCCTTTAGTACCTTTACCCCATGTCATGTCTCCAGATGACCCCAGAATGAGCTAGAAAAGCACAATGGATAAAAGTCAATCCATTAGTAATCAGTTAAGAAGGAAACAATAATAACAATAATAGCAGCTACAATGTACTGGCTGTTGATTCTATTATGCCAGGCACTGTACAAAGTGCTACACACAGACTATCTCCTTCCTCACATGTACCCTATGAGAAAAGCATTATTATCTTTCTTTTAAAGAAGAAAGTTAGGCATCAACAAATGGGTTAAATAGTTTGCCCTTGGTTGCCCCAGCAGCTCAGCCTGCATCATCCCTTCAGAGACTGTGTTCTGACTCCAAGCAGACACAGAGAGAAACTAACCCAGGGCAAGAGGAGGGGCTCTTGCACACACAGCAGTATTGCAGTATTCCTCCACCAATCAGTCACAAAAACCCACCAGCCTTGAAAGCAGTTCTTACCCTCATTCAATGTGAGGAACAAGATGTTGAGGCTCAGGCAGCTCAGCAAGGAACACAAAGGTGTCTGCCACCTACAAAACAGAGTCCTGATCAACACACAGACACTCTCCAGCTGGGAGGGGTGCGCTGACAGCAAAGATGGGACATCCAAGCCAGGAGATGAGGAAGAGGCCTGGGGCGCAGACAACCACAGAGAAATAAAAAGTGAGCCTTTCTCTTAGATAAGCAACCAGGAGAAGAGAAAAGAGGTCATATCTTAATTAGCCCTAGAGTGAGAAAACTAGACCTGTAAAATTTCCTCCCAAAAGGAGGTTTCTGTTAAGGAACCTGGCTAATGCTGTTTCACCTGTTACTTTTGCAGTACTAGAGACTGAGCCCAGGGCCTTCACACTAAGCTATATTCCCCCAGCCCTTTTTCTTTCTTTTAATATTGAGAATGGGTCTCCTTAAGTTGCTAAGTTACCCAGGCTGGCTGGACTTGCTGTCCTCCTGCCTTAGCGCCCCCAGAGTGCTGGGATTATAGATGTGGTCCAAGAGGTTCCGCTTCACCTGTGCTTTATAACTGCCTCTTCTCCTTGAGAACGGACATCCTTCTTTAATTTGTTCCTTTATTCTTTTTCACCACTTCATGAGAACTTACAACCACTGCCTAAGAAATCAAAAAAGAACCAATTACGGATTTTTTTTGCCTCCTTTTGAGACTTTATCATCTTATGTCTATATTTTGAGAGTCTGAGTTTATCTGAGTTTATCTTGCATATTAAAAAGGGGAAGAATAATAATGATTTTATTTAAATGTATTAAAAACTGAAGATGAAACTAGAATGCAGGATTCACTCAGCAAAGACACCCTTATGAACAGGAACAGATAGAAACAGGTACAGACACAGCTTTCAAATGGCAATGGAGTAGTTCCCAAGGAGGAAAGAAAAAGACCAGAGGTTCAGATTGCTGAGGTCAAGCAAGTGCTGCTGGCTTAGTCTTTAGTAAGAGACATTTACTAGGGACATAAGAGCACAGATGTGATAATGAAGTCACTGATACCTAAAAAAAATTTTTTTTTCCTTGTACCAGGAATCAAACTCAGGACCTTGTGCTTGCAAGGTAGGTGGTGGTACCAAGCCAAATCCCGGGTACACTGATACCTAAACTCTATAGCAGTGCCAGTGTACACAAGGTGAGCCATCAGAGACAAAGAGAATCGGGTAAACAGTGGCAAACAATTCACTTAGAACTTAACTGTATTTTTTTATGCTCTAATTAGAGAATTTCAGTTACTAAATGAGGTTAATTTGTTGTTGTTTGGTTTATCAGACTGGCCTTGAATTCGCTATGCAGCCCAGGCAGACCCTGAACTCATGCCCATTCCCCTAAGTCTCTTGAATGCTGAGAGTATAAGTATACACCACCATGCCTAAGTGACGTTAGTTTACATGAGACTTTTTAATAAAAATTAGGAGGGAATGAAATAACACTCTTCGTCTTTCTCTTGAAATGCAACACACTCACCTGTATTATCCTAATCAGACCTCAGTACCTCTAGTGGCTGCTACCAGAGTAAAAGCTAAACAGAAACTAAGGCCAATCGTACTCCTGAAATAGAAACACCACAGCACCACTGAAGTCACTTTCATTTCCAAAACTCTCCCATTCTTCCTAATGTTCTGGGTTCTGGGAGACCCACATAATGGAGTGGCTGATCCCAAAAAAGAGTCTTCTAAAATTGACTGCAGCTTCAGGTTCAGACCTAATAGCCAAAGCCCAAGATTTAAAGTCTTTAAAGTCAAATCCTCTTTACTAAGAAAAGAATAATCAAAAGCACATATTAATCTGATAGCCACATTCACAGACCAGCGTTCCCTTGGCCAGCAGGGGAGATCACACTGGGTGGGAGAGAAGGGGTTAGGTGTGATGTTCTGCCTCCATCTAGCTCTAACCAACTCCTCCTCCTTCCTACCTCTTGCACCAAGAGCAGGATGATTTACAGTAGAGAACATGACTCTGGAACACTGGGCAACATAAAAGCCCCTGTCTCCAGATGATGATGATGATGATGGTGACGACCACCATTTCTAAACTGAGGCGAAGAAGACGACTCAACAGCACTCTAAGAAATAACCAAACTCTGCTCACCCTGCCTCCCACCAGTCTTTCCAAGTACTGAAGGAACAGATCAAACTAGAATTTCTTCCCTTGAAATAAACATGCACGAACACACACAATTTTACATGCCATTTCAGGGGATTCACTAACCCCTAAAATCCACCAACAGGCTCTAAGTTAAGGTTTTAGGAGATTCCTGATGAGATACAATAATAAGGACACAATATTTATCTTTGCCAAAAAAGAATCTTTTTTTACTTGAATTTAGTCCATCTTTTACATCTAACTTCCAGTTTGCACTGTAAATAAACAGACAAATCTTGATGGGAAATTCTCTAGAACAGTTAGCTCAGTCTTTTTACCATGGATGAAACAAGTGATTGGTTTGGATTGAAAAATATTTAAGGAACTTTTGTCCCTTACTTTTTTTTTTTTTTTTTTTTTTTTTTTTTTGGTACTGGGGATAGAACTCAGGACCTTGAGCTTGAGAGGGGCAGGTGGTGGCACCACTGAGTTAAATCCCCAGCCTCCTGCCTTTATGTCTTAATCACACACCATGCATGGGCCTGGATTAGGAACTGATTTGGCCAAAGCAATTCTTCATGACATTCCTGGGGAAAACTAGAGAACCTAGATATAAATCAAGCATAAAAAGATATCAAGGAATTATTTATTATTATGTTAGATGTGATGTTGATGATGAAAGAAAATGTCCTTAATTATTTACAGACAGAAACTGAAGTATTCAGGTAGTAGAAGCCATCTATCTGTAATTTAAAATATTAAAACACTTTTACGCCAGGGATTTAGCTCAGCAGTTCAGTGGCCTGCCTTGCAAGCGCAAGGACCTGAATTTGATCAAAGTGAGCTGAAAGAAGAAGAAAAGAACATTAGGAAGAATGAAAAGCACAGCAGGACAAGGGAAGAAGTGAGACCCATAGCTCCCGGCAACTAGTGAAAATGGTACCCGCTTACTTGTATTTGTTTCTAACTTTTTTCAAAATTATATCCTAATTTTAATAATTATGCTAAAATTGTAAGACAAGGGAGAAAAAAATAAGCTTGCCAAAGCTACAGAAGGCCAACACTGAATGAGTCTATCTGTCCTGAGACAGGACCTTTTCCAGTCACAAAGAAAAAGCTTGATTAAAGAGCCAGATGGTTCCCCAGGCCTGCCTCTTCTGGATAGGCGCTGAGACACCGGGTAGGCCTGGATAAATCCAGAGGCCAAATAAACTATCCAGAACTGGCCCTCACTAGGGCAGAAAAGATAGCCCAACCATTGCCTAAATAGACAGCACTACTACAGAGCAGAGAAGCAGAAGGTCCAGCAGGCCAAAACAACTCCATAAAGTCTGTACCTGAGCAAGTATCGAACACCATCACCTGCATCCTTCAGAGGTTCCAAGTAGATCTCCAGCCTCTTGTAGGATAGAACCAAGTTGAAAAGATCAAATGCTGGGGTCTTGGTAGGGACAGGTGGACATTCCAAGGGCACCTCAGGCATCGTGCCAGGGCTCACTTCAGAACCACTCCCCTCACGCTCTGACGTCTGCATCCTGTAACCATAATAATTCCCAACATTTGTATGTATTGCACGCCCAAGCCCAACACACTTCTTGAATTATTCCAAAAGTGAAGTGGATTACATGTGGAATACCCATTTCACAGAGGAGAAAACTGAAGTTAATAATTACTCAGACACAAATCCTGTTCTTCAGACTCCCATCCAATGCTCTTTGCCCCACAGACCCAACCAGAATGCAGATGTAACAACCAGGCTCCATGTTTGCTGGAGGGAGGCAGCCTGTGCTCTCAAGAGAAATGACGGCCTGGAATACTTTTTCTTCCCTTTTTGACAAGTGTCTTGCTGTGTAACCCAGGCTGGCCTCAAAATGGGCAGAAGGTCCTGGGATTACAACTACACCCAAGCATACCTGGCTTTTCTTTCATTCCTTACCCGTTAATTACTATTCAACCTTCCAGTGTCAGTTTACATATCAGTCCCTTGCTCTGGAAGTCTTTGCCTGTTTCCTCCGACTATTTGGCTAGTCTCCATTCATCACAGTTCCTGTACACATTAGGTGTATAATAACTCAACTTGCTAAATGAGTAAAATGAGCTACATTCATCCAGGACTACCATCCTCTTTCTACCTTACCCAGCCTCTGTAATCCTTCCTCTCCCTCTGTTCCCAACAATCTCATGGACCAGCCCTGCCCATACCGCAGCAAGCACATTCCAAAACACCGCATTTGCAGTCTCCCCTTTCTGATGAAGAGAGCCACAAAAACCTTCAGGCTCTTTCCTAATTTGAAAGTCCTACGACCCCGAACGCTCAGCAGCAAATGAGGGGGCGGAACCTCCGCAAACAGCCAGTCCCAGGCATTAAATTGCAGCCGAAGGTGGGGAGACAACAAAGGGGTTGTTGGGAGACTGAAATCCCCGTGGACAAAGCATGGGGTAAAGGTCTGAGGCGGGGCGCTGGAGCCTAGGAAGGAATAAAGCAGGTCAGCAGCAGCAGATGCCTACACCGCCACCTCTGCAGCTCAGGAAGCCTGTTGGAGCCGCAGAAGCCCAGACGGAGGCCACGCCCAAGGTCGCTCAGCCAGCAGGTGGCGGCCCCACCGGGTCCGAACGCCCAGCTCTGCACAGTCCTGGAACACAGAGGCGGGGACGTGATGACACCGCACCTACCCGGTCGCTGGCTCGGTAGGGGGAGGGGAAGGGACGGCCGGCGGCACCGGGAAGGCCACTGGCCCGCCGACACTTTCTTCGGGCCCACCCCACTACTGTGCGACGACGCCTCCCAGCGCCGTTCCGAACTGGCAAGTCTGAGGGCCACCTCCGCTGCCACCGCCACTTCCGGGACGCGAGTCTCTGCGCGGCGGCGTGCCCGTGACGTCAGCGCGGCGGTACCGCCCCTGGCCCCGACGCCAGGCTTAGTTCCCTCAAAGGTAAGCGCACTCTTCCTCACTGCGCCTGCGCACCTTTTCCTCTATAGCTGCTAGAATTAGCTCTACGTTTGTGAGGCAGAGACTCACAAAATGTTGGAGCCTAAGAGCACACGCCTAGTGACCCTACGCTTTGCTACGCCTTCTAGCTCTGAAAGATTCTGGCAAAAAACAGTGTGGAGAGAAGCACAATTGAAAAATTTACATCATCATCCCTTGAGAACTTCGGCAGGCACTTACCTGGCTGTTAGTTTGTGAATCCAGAAAAGGAACCATACATGTCCTGTATACCAGTACCTATACCAGTACCAAGCAGAGAATGTAGTTCTGCGTCTCCTGCTGTACACAGGATACTGGATCAGTCTTTCCCAGCTCAATCCCCTTCACACTGTGCGGTCCCGGTAATGTCCCTGAAGCTACAAAGTGCGATGACTGTGCATTAATAACAGTTATACTTACTGAGGGCTCACCAACTGCCAAGCACCTGACTAAGCTCTTGTGGGGTATTATGTAGTTCTCCAATAACCCGATTAGGAGTATCGCCATTTTACAAAGGAAATATCCGACATATGTTAAGGAAATTCTCGTGTGTCACAGCAAGTACGCTATCAGGACCTGGGATTTGAACCTCCCATGTTACCAACCCCAGCCCTACCAAACATACCTATATGCTACCCACTTTTACCTGCACTTCCTGGCCTCATCTCTGCTACTCTATCTTCAGGTGCCTCAGTGTCAGCCAACTGAACTGCTCTATTGTTTTCTTCAGACACTCCTTGGGCTCCTGTCTCCTTTATTGCTTGAAATGCCCTTCTGCCACTCTTACTTCTCCCAATCCAACCCATTCCTCCCAGCAAGAGTCAGATGTTTGCAAGCCATCCCTGGTTGCCCCAGCTGGAAATAATCACTTCCCTCTAAACCACAGTTTATCCACATCTCTTCCTGTAAGTATCTCCTTTCAGAAAATTGTCGTGCTCCTCCAGCCAGGACTCAGCTGTGTTCAGAATTCCAACCCTTACTTGTTGGGGCCTTGAATTATCCAACCAGCCCTGAAATCCACACTCTGAGCAGCTCTTGCCACTTGTCCTAGGGAAAAAAATCCATGAAAAATGTTATATTTACCCCTTTCTACCTTTGCTTCCATACCCAGTCACTCCACTGCGCCAAAATCCTGCTTTCCTACGTGCCACTGGACTACCTGACTACTCACCTGTGACATCCTGGCTGCTAAATCCAATGGACATCTCGGGTCCTCCTTGCAGGTGAGCTTTGCAGCACTAGAGTCACACTCCTCTTCCCTCCTCAAATAATTGTGCACCTTAGCCAACATGATATCATCCTCTCCTGCTCATCTTCCTACAATCAGGGTCCCTTAGGAGTCTTCTTACTGTCCCCCAAATGTTGTCCATCTGGAATCCCCTTCCCTCTGATTCCAGACACTCCCTAGGGTTGTTTATTCTCAGGACTCTGCTAAAATTTTTCATATCGATGTCCTCAGCAACTGGAACAGCATCTGACACATTGTAGGCATTCTGTAAAGAAGGATTTGAAGATGTTATTAATGATGGACAGTACAAGGGATATCTCTGTTATTTCTCATAACTATATTTACAGTTATCTCAAAATCAAATGCTCATACTATGTGGGAATTTTTATAGTTCCTTGTTTAGTTTAATTTTCTTTTAACTGGAATATGCCAGTGCCAACATGAGTAGGATAAGAAGCCTTCTCATTGGATGAGTTGCTCAGTTGGTTTTTCCAGCTATAAAATGGAGATAATTATCATAGCAACCTCACAGGCCTGTGGTGATAATTAAATGAGCTAATGGATATAAATTCCTAGTATAAGCGTTCAAAAATTGATAGCAGTCGTTCGTTTTTATTTTTACTCAAAACCCTATCACCATCACAAGCAGCCCAGAAATCAGACAAGAAGGGCTAGAATGTAGACATCCCACACATACCACTTAGCTATCTTCAGAAATCACTCCCTCACTACCCCTCAGAAGAATGAGCTAGGGCTGGGGATTTAGCTCAGTGGTTCCACTGCCTGCCTTGCAAGCACGAGGACCCCAGTTCAATCCCCGGTACCAAAAAAAAAAAGAAGAAGAAGAAGAAGAAGAAGAAGAAGAAGAAGAAGAAGAATGAGCTCAGCATTTTGACCCATCTGAAAGCTATCTGCAGGCCTCTGCTTCTCCTCCCCTGGTATGAGTCTTTTCCCAGAAGGTCTCCTTGGTCTTTTTATGCAGATAGCTTCTGAAGGCTCCACTGTTTTTCCCTCTCCTGAACCAGCTCCAGGTTGGAACTCCTGGAGAGGGCAGTGCCGTCCCACCCTCACTTCTCCCATTTCTTCACCCTCCCTCTCCGTCTCCTGCTCAGACCACCCTCTTGCTGATACGTTTTTAGGACCACCCTGTCACCTCTAGAGAATACGCCTCTGGAAGTTCCCCAGGTGTGTCATGTCTTGCAGTGCTATGCCTTTTTCAGATTTTCCTTCCCATTCTTAATCAACTTATTCTTGCTCCAAAACTCAGGTCAAGTTTCAGCCCTTCAGGAATATTTCCTGAAGGCCGTCTGAATTAGGTTGGTGCCCCTTCTGATTTTTCTCCATGTGCTTATCCCACCCCAGCACTTGGCATGTACGAGGTCTCTCTAGGCTGTGAGAGTCCTGAGGAACTAATTTGACTTTAACTCTGTCAAGCTCCTAGCACAAAGTAAGTACCCAATAAATGTGCATGTCAATTTCTTCCTTGAATTCTAGCTAGACATGAATGTAGCTTTGCTCTCTTCCTGGTTGTTGACTTCTGGAGGGCTGAATTTGTGTTTCTTTCACCTAAGATCCAGCATAATGCCCATTTCTTAAAATGGTGACTGAGACTTGATATCAAGTTTCAATTTCTACCCTGCATGGACCCTTGTTGAATAGGAGACACTGACTTCACCATAATACAAAGCAGTGAGTCCTGTAGTAAAAGTATGTGCATAAAAAAAGGACAGATTTAGACTAAGCGAGGAGGTAGAGAAGTTTTCTGGACAATCTAGTATTTAAACTAAGAAGACTCTTCTCTTCTCTTCTTAGAAGAAAAAATTTGACTTCAATGTCTCAATTTCCTGAAAGTCTACCATAAATAATTCACTCCAAATAAAAATTTCACTTTCTTTGCAATTCTTCCTCCTCGTGATACAGTTAAATGGGCCAGTAATAGTCCAGGTTCTTATGTATGACAAGGGAAGAATTGCCAACATGCACCCAATGGTAAGTAGTAAGTGGTGGCTACATTTATTGAAGATCACAGGAAAGGTAGCAGCAGCAACAGGAAAAGGGGGAAAGGAGAGAAGCAAAGAGATGACTGATAACCAAGGCTTTCAGTTTTGTTTTCTTTTGTTTTTTTTTGGCTTTCACTATTTTAAAGGCCAGGCCTCCTGACTTTAGGTACCTCTCACTGAATCTCTCTTGGTGCCAGTGCTGGAGGGCATAGCAATCTCTTAGGCTTTTGTTATTTCATCTTATACCTCTCTTAGGATAGTGGAAGCAGGAATAAATGTTGGGTGCTATTTAGGTTTAGATGACTCACGTGGCTCCTTTGTTTCTAACTGTACTACTTGGGTCTTTCTGGACCACTGGCTTCAGACTGGTTGTGGCTAGTGATAGTATTGGTTTTCACCTCCACCTGCTTTATAATTGAGGAATATTATTCAAAACTCCTACACATTATTTGGGAGGATTATTGGAGGATAGAAGAAAGTTTTAAAGATCAGAAAAGGACAACAGTCATGGTCTATATCAGTGAATAAACTTCTCCCCCAGTAGTGAGACTGACTGGGTGGACTCAGTTTTGGGAGTTTAATTCTGACTGACTGACTGATTGATTGATTTTTTGGTTGACTGCTTGGTGGCATTGCGGGGGAACAAACCCAAAACGCTACACATGCTAGGCAAGTGCACACTGAGTGACCCCCTCAGCCCTAACTCTGGTTTTTTGTTTTTTGTTTTTGTTTTTGTTTTTTTGGTACCAGGGATCGAACTCAGGCCCTTGTGCTTGCGAGGCAGGCACTGGAACCCCTGAGCTAAATCTCCGGCCCTCTGGTTTTTATATAATTTAGGTCTGGCTCACTCTTTCCCTTTGTATTTTGAGTCTTCTGCCTGTCTCAAATCCTGGTGTCTAGCAGATAGGTGGAAGAGACTAAGGGAAAAAACATAAAGAGGGTAATCAGTTCCTCAATACCATAAGTTGACATTTCTCAGGGGTTAGACTTTGCATAAGCAAGTGTGTTTATGGCCCTTATAATTAAGTCATAAAACTCACTATGGCCCTTGGAGGAATACTAGGCAGAAATACTGACTAGAACAAGCTAGAGAGGGAAATGTTGGACATGGTGGCACACGCCTTTAAGCCCAGCACTCAGGAGGCTGAGGCAGAAGGATCGCTACAAGTTTGAGCCAGCCTGGGCTACATAGTGAGTTCAAGACCAGCCTGGAATATGTAGAGACCCTGTCTCAACAATACAACAAAACTGAGTAGGAGAGGGGACTGACCAAGCAGGCATCTGCCACCAGATGGCTCTGTTTCCCAAGCTTCCTAAAAATCCTTAGCGTTTCGGGGATATTTCCCTTTGAACGTCCAGTTTTTGGTTATCATACATCATGCACACTCCATTAATTTCTCACCATTTCCTTAACACGCCAGATCTTTTCACGCTTATGGCTGTATTAGCTATGTCTTGCTGTATAACAAAGTATTTTAAAACTTAAAGGTTTAGCCAACAATAAACATATTGTCTCATACTGTTTAGGGGATCTGGATGCTTTGGATCAGAAG